TTTTAATTCACGAACAACGTTTAAATTTTGTTATTTAAAAAAGTTGTTTTTTCGATACTGTTTTTTCGATATTGTTACTAAATTGCAGCAGAGAATCTGTCATTAACCACTCAGATCTAATGGCTTTTCTTCAATAAGTCATTACTTTTGCTTTCCAGCAACAGAACACACTTATACTGTATGACGCAGTAATACAACACAGTGATGACTTGTAATTAAAATATTGCTTTTTTATTTTACCACCAGGATGAAATAAAAAAGGTCTGATATATTAGGTGTAATAAAAAGAAATCCATTATTTTTGCATGAAATTGAATGGAAAAATAATGGATTTCTTTTTACTACATCTAATATCTATGTTCAAATATAATCTTAAAACTTTTTCAGAGAACCAATCTTTAAAAATAAATGGTAATAAAATGTAAAAATTTGTGAAGTAATATAAGATGATGAACATCATGTAATATAAAATAAACATATAGCATTTTAGCTGTATACGATTGTGTCGATTTGTGTTAAATATAATTGAAAAGCACGGAATGTGTTACATAGTGTTACCAGTATATTTTACTGGAAAACAATAAAAAGTTTTAATTGATCGATCAAAATCAATTTATTCTTCTCACACTATGATTGGTCAATTTCTTAAGACTTAGAACTTAGGCTTATTATAGAAAGCCCATAAAAGTTTATCTTACAACCCGAATATATCTAAACGAAATCAAAATATTCTATTACGAAAATAAAAAAATAGAATTAATTGCTTTGTAAAGATTCGTTTTTCTGTTATTAAAAAAAAAATATATATTAAACTTTTCTTATTTAAACTGATTTCTTTTTTCAGATTACATATTGCGTGGCAACAGATCATTTTTCTAAGTATTTGTAATTTGATATATCTGAAAATTGCGATATAGATGAATTTTATGAAATTTGTTTATAATATTTTTGTGGTGTCATGTTGTAAATATAAGATCAAATTACAAGAACAGGAATTAGTTGCGTATTATAAAAATAAGTGTATAATCGATTATATATGATATATATACGGAAATTATTATCGAATATACATGTCATCAGTGATATAAAGCATTCAAAGCTGAAATTCAGCTTTTTATTGGGAAACTCGCGATTATTGAATTCAATATTTTATGAAGATCCTTGTACATATTAAGTTTTTTCCCTTTTTTCCGTTATTTGTACGAGAGATATGTTTCTCATTATATGTGTATCGTTTGTCTGTTATACTTTTAACTTTAATTTATCTAGAGATTTATATATATTGTAACGGGCTCCTGCAACTAACTTGTCGTTTTTATTAAAATTTAAAGCGAATCTATCTCTATAAGAAATTTTAAAAGATGTAATACGTGCAAAGTATCATTTAGATGTGCGTGTTTTACACATAAGAAAGGATGTAAAGTTTATTAAAAAATTCAATCAAGTCGATATCTTTAGGATGTAAGATATGTTGTAACAAATTATATTTTTTAAACGATATGTAATTGTGTGTATGATCATCCTTTATCCTAAAACAACGTTACAAATACAACAGGATTTATATCTGCATACGAAATAATGGAGTTGCTGTGATTTTTTTTTTGGAAAAGGATCAAAGGTAAAAGGAAATATAAATACAAATGCATTATTCGATCAATTGAAATTGTTGTTTGGTAAAACGATGTCCGGAATGCCAGAAGTTTTATTTCGCTTGGAGCGAGTACAAAATTCTTCTCTTTTATTGTTTTTTTTTCTAAATATTTTTGTTTTAGTCTCAATATTTTTATCAAAAAAATTGATAATGTATTTTTTTTAACATATTTGTTTTGGTTGTTTTAAACAGAGTTTTATAATTTTATTTGCAAATTTTTATTTTTTTTTGTTGTTAAACGGACGTTTTCTCATTGTTTTTGCTCTAATGAGAAAAAGTCCGCGCGACAAACAAAAATTAAAATATAACTCTGTTTGGAACAAATATGTATAAGATATTGAATTCCATAAGTTTTTGGAAATTTTTTCGCTTGAAAATGGATGGGAAAAAGTTTGCGCGACAAATGAAAATTACAACATACGCTCTGTTCGCGAAACAAATAAGTTAATAAAAAGAAAATTCAAACTGATTGAATTCCACAATGTTTTGATTAAAATGATGAGATACGAAAACAAACAGAATTGAAACAAGAAAAGAACTTTGTACTTGTTAGAAAAAAAACTTGTACGCAGGAATGATACAATAATTATTTTTTAGTTAATTCCTCAAAAGTACATTTTTCTTCAAAGATTTATAAGAAATAGAATTAGTTTTCGCGCATATAACTATTTTAGGTTTTTAATCAATGTAATATTTATATAATCCATGCTTTCCGCTTGCAATTTTTAGGAAGACTTGGAATAAGAATTAGACATCTTTTTTATAAAAAATTCGTCGACATCAATTTGTAATATATATATTTTCTATATAATATCAAATAATATATATATTTTCTAACAAAATATTAACCGCCATTTATCTCGTGTTCAGATATTCTTTGCGAGATTCTAAGTTTTTTAAAATATTTTTTTAGAGTAAATTTTTTCTTGTTTAGCGATTATAACAAATCACGCATGCGCGATTACGAAATTTCCCATGTTGGTCGACGTCGACGTCGAGACGCCGTTTTAATCAATATATCGAGTGACGTCACGCGAGAGGTTTATGCCCACTTGGTTGTTCTACGTGACGCGGCAACGCAATCGGGATCCCCTTTTTTATCCTCTTTCCCTCGATGATCACAATCTAATTAGTTCTCTCCGGTACTCTCCATTAATCGAATGTAACGTGATCCAAAAAAACGCGATAGGTCTCTCGTCATACCAGAATTTCGCGTATTTTCATCGCGGAGAAATTCGCATTTACGCGTTAAATGTCGTTGTCTCTCTTTCTCTTTCTCTCTTTTCCTATTTTTTAAATTTTTTTCCTCCGATATTTGCGCCTGTATTTAGATACGCGATATTTCTCTTCGTATACTTCGCCGCTCCGAATGGATTCAGTGGCCCGCGTCGCTCATCCGCGCTGCAAGCTCCTCCACTTGGACGGATCCGCCGCGGCGTTGTAGCGCCGAGCGGTGTGTTCAATCACTGCGGTCGCTGCCGCCAATCCCGGGGACCAGAGAAAGGAGCTTCCTTTCTTTCTTCTTTTCCCTTTTTCCCCTCTTTTTCCCCCATCTTTCGATCCCTCGTTGTCCGCGTCGTACGTCTATGAACTGCCACCGCCATCGCCGCCTCCTCTACCGCCTCCGACATCGTCGCCGCCACCACCGCCACCACCGCCGCCTCCACCGCCTCCGCCGCCACGAAGATTGTAGTACCGTTGCGTACCTCGAGTAGCCGAGTACCTCGAGCGTCCAGTATCCCCGAACCCGCGAATGCGGAGTACGAATACCTGGACGTTATACCTCGCCGGCCGCCTCTCGTCACGATGCTACTACTTGCGGTGATCGGGCTCTTCGTCCTCGCCGGCACGACCACCGCCGAGGTCTTTACCAACACGTTCCTGGTGAGGATGCGGCAGCCAGCGGAACGGCACGTAGCTGATCGCGTGGCGCTGAGGAATGGATTCATCAATCTGGGACCGGTAAGTCCGACGGTGTTCGCTCCAGGATTCCTGGACCTCTCCAATCAGAACAAAATTGTGATATATCAAATAACTCCAAAATCATTTTTTAATCATTCACGGTTTATTTTAACATTATTTTAACGTGTTATTCTATTTGGATACATTCTTGGATTTATAATATATCGTATATACGAAAATTTATGATATATACATAACAGATGCTATCTTTGTATGTGATATTTTTAAAATAAGACCCCTGGATAACTCTGGAGGCTAAAGAGTATAGTTTGGAATATATATGTGTGTATATATATATATATATATATATGTGTGTATATAGAATACATTGACATATATAATAGAGAATTTCTTATAAAGCCCTCTCAATTGCGTCAGTATTTCGCATTTTTCCTCTTCCGCAATCCAAGGAGAACAACAAAATCAAAATAATGTTAAATTGATTAAATAATGATAAAAAATAACATAAATTCGATCAGTATGACGTCAAATGATATTATTTTGTCTTTCTTGTTCTCCCTGGGAACACAAGTTACTTCAAAATGGCTCCAAAATAATTAGTAGAAATCGTTTTTTAATTATAATTCAAGGAACACACCAATACCCAAGCAGAACAAGTCATTATGATTCCAAAATAATCATTAAAAGTCATTTTTTCCGATTCATTTTAATGTCATTTTGATGTTATCGTGACTTGTCGTTCTGCTTGAGTAAGTTAAGAAAAAGACAAAATGATAATTTTTGATTACAAGATTTGACTGTTTATTAAGGTTAAAAATCAAAATAAGATCATTTTGATGTTCTGTCGACTTTTATGTGTTCCTTTGATAGTTACTCATTTTACTGCCATTTTTATGTTATCATAACATTGTTTCGCGCACGAGTCCTTTCTCTCTTCCTTCCAGTTTGTTATCCCTTCCTCGTCACAGCTGATCACCTGATTCTCTCGGAGTACGGAATTGTAACATAGTAATTAGAAACTTTCATGCTTTCCTCCCAAACAGAAAAGTCAAGGTAACGTCAAA